CATACATACATACATACATACATACATACATACATACATACATACATTCATCCATTATCTTCCACTTTTTCCGAAGTTGGGTCACGGGGGCAGCAGCTTGAGCAGCGATGCCCAGACATCTTATTCCACAGCCACCTCTTCCAGCTCTTCTGGGAGGATTCCAAGGTGTTCCCAGGCCAACCGAGACAAGTAGTCTCACCACTCTGTTCTGGGTCTCTTCCCAGTTGGACATGCCCAAAGCATCTCCCTATAGGGAGGCACCCAGGGAGCATCCTTACTAGATGTCCGAACCACCTCAATTGGCACCTCTCGATGTGGAGGAACAGCAGTTCTACTCCGAGTCTCTCCTAGAAAACTAAACTTCTTTCTGCTTTCTTGTGGAGGAAACTCATTTCAAGCACCTGCATCTGAGATCTCATTCTTTTGGTCACTACCCAGAGTTCGTGGTCACAGTTGAGGGTAAGTCGACCGACCGGGAAACAGAGCGCTTTGTCTTACAGCTCAGTTCCCTATTTATGCATATATATATATATATATATATATATATATATATATATATATATATATATATATATATGAAATTTACATTACTGAATTTAAAGAGCACCCAAACATCCAAACTGTGCTTTAAGATGATGAATGACTCTTCCACTGTGTCACTTTTTGCCCCAAGTGAGACTGCATTTATACTTAATAAAAGACTAATAAGGTGAGACTTTCTTACCACAAAAGTTTAATGGAGAGAAAGGCACCAGAAGAAAGTTTTTAGAAAACAGTCAAAGGTTGTTTTTTAGTGGTGATAACTTAAAAGGTGCTCTCAGAGGATTGGTTCAAGGAAGGAAATCAGTGAAGAAAATGCCTGATTTTGGCTTCAGAATTTGATAAAGACATCTCATCAGATTTCATGACATCTGCTTTTAAAAACTACAGACTCGCAGAAAGATTTGCATTGTGGAAAACTTAAAAAAAAAAAAATGAATGCGTACATTTTCAACTTGCTTTTCTAACCAGCTGATGATTTTTGTTTGGCCGTCAACTACCTGAACGTGAAAATATATCACCAGTCTGAAAACCAGCAAACACACAAAAAAAGCAGGGATCAGCAAACAGAGACAAAAAGAACTATGTGCAACTAAATTCTGGATTTTTATAATCATCTGCACTCACAGAAAGACACCAGTGGGCAGAAATAAGAAGAGAGGATTCTGTGTCAGAGAGTCATAGGCCCAGATGAGCCAGGCCAGAACCAGGTGAGAGTTCTTCAGCTTGTTGGCCCACAGGGATCCTGCCTGAAACATGCTGGTTAGGTTCCTAAAGGGGCCACATGTTGATGAGGGTTTAATCCTATAGAAAGAAGAGATCAACAAAACAGCTCTGTTAATTTATTTTACGTTCCAGACACCCCCACGATAGGTGAAAATCCATGAAACATTACTTTTAGTATTTATATATATATATTAAACCCTTCCCACATTCTTGCAATGTTCTTAAAAAATGTTCTCACTTGATTATTTTAAATAAACAATCCATGCAGCTCGTGTGGCTCACTCAGGTATAAGACAACCCATCAGCCCCATCCTTTCTTTTTCCGAGGCTGTCTGTTTTTGCTATTTTAGGTGTAACTGGGACCCTGGGTACACAATTTTGTTCCACTTCATGTACCACATGTGATGCAAATGACAATAAAGAACCTTGAACTTTGTTGCACACCCACCTGTTAAGTGTCTCTGGGACACGATGGGGAAAGACAGTCCTCACCCCCCACCCTCTCCTTTCTCTTTCTCTGCTATGACAGACAGCCTCAGAAAGAGAAAGGAGGAGGCGGCGGGGGGGGGGGGGGGGGGGGG